GGATAGGGGAACACGCGACCAAAAATAAACAAATTTTACTTTAATTTTGTTATTTTTATATTAATTTGTATAATAATATATGTTAAATAACATATAAACATATGCACACATTAAATGTAAAGTTCATTTTTTGTGATGAAGGTCCTGACTTTTCTGAAATTCTTGTTCTTTTGCAATAAAGTCGTAAAGTTTCATTTGTCTCTTTTTTCTCTCCTTAAGCAAATGTCAGTAGCGGAAGATCGCATTCAAAACGCCTCGTTTTGCTTTTGCACTCCTTTCAAGATCTGGATCATTCGCTACAATTTTATCAATGATTTCGGTTATCTTACCAAACTTTTACTAAAGAAATCTGTTGAGAAATTTTTGGGTTCTTCGTTTTCAGAATCTCTATTTTCTAGTTCCACACGAATTCCATGTTCTGCCAATTCTTGGAGGTCGTCGTTGGTAAGGCTCTAACCAGAAACCTTCTGTAACTCCTCAATATCCTGCTCGTCTATTCTCTTATCAATATCCTGCTATATCGATTAGATCAGTGGTTCCCAATTAGTTTTTCCTGCGTACCACTTCAAGAAAGAGTTCAAACTCGCATATTCCTTATAGCAGAAATTCATATTAATCCATATTAATATTATAAATTCGAAGGTAATTCTGTCTGTCTGTCTGTCTGTTACCTTTTCACGTCTAAACCGCTGAACAGGTTTTAATAAAATTTGGCACAGAGATAGCTTACATGTTGGAAATTGACATAGGCTACATTTTACTGCGAGAAAATATCTTACTCCCACGAGAAAATTCGATATAATGCGGGCGAAGCTATGGGTAGACAGCTAGTGATAAATAAAACAAGTTTTTTTTTTACATTTATTACCTTTAAAATACAATTCTAATAATAATGAAAATAACATAAGGTTATTTAATTTTAATGTGACAAATGTGCACTTTTCTTTGCACAACTTTGTAAAATCTGGTTGCTTTTTGGTCTGCTTCAGTCTCAAGTCATCTTCGAGTTGAAGTCGGTTACGATGTTAAGTTTTCATGTTTGTCATGGCCGAAAATCCGCTCTCGCAGAGGTATGTTGTGCAAAATGGTAGTAAATATTTTATTGCCGCTTCGCTGACATGATAATAATGATAATTGTACAATTAATACAATTTGTGTTTATTGTACAATTTTTGTTTCTTGCCTAGGAATTTCATTTAGGTATTGTCACAAATGCATTTTTTGATGAAATTTCGAGAATTTAGTTATAAATAAACAAATTTGTGCATTCGAAATCATGTTGTAAATTGCCGAATTTTTGATGGTCCACCTATTATTTTTTTTGATTCCTTCATCTCATGCATTTAAATTTTAAATCAACCGATTTTAGATTGCCGCGCGTACCCCTTCATGCAATTTCGCGTACCCCCAGGGGTACGCTTACCATTAATTGGGAACCATGGGTTAGGTTGAATTTGGTCAACCTAACGATATAGCGATAGGCTCTTCTCGTTGAGAATTCTTGGATACCTTCAGCCATAACTTTTTCCACACTTTGTTCGTGCATTTATCAGTTAATTCTTGCCAAGCGAAATCGATATTTCCTATGACATCCATGATGTTATATATATATATATATATACATCTTTTTTTTCAAAAATTGCACCGAACAAACATAGATTTAGAGAAAGTACACCTTTTTGCCACCTTTTGCTGATTGGTTTGTGTTCGCAAATAATCGTATTATATACGAATCAATGAAATGCCGCGATAATTTAAATCGGCGTAAATTTTGAGGTTTTTTAAAGGCTTCCAGCAGACCGTGTTATATCGAATCAGCGTTAAGCGGGGTCTTACTGTACTAGCATATCTATCACACTTTTTTTTGTATAAATAAGGCAAATGAATATTATATTAACAACACATAGCAAGATATTGTAAGTCATAAAAACAACTTTAAAAAGTTTTTGGAAGCAGACTTTTTCTTTTCTGACTAAATCTAAGATTTTAATTATAGTTTAAAATAGGCTTTTTTTTGGCTTGTCAGAGCTATCAGTATCATTACGTTTGCGTTTTGGAGTCATGTTTGCAAAGAAACTAGTATAAATGAAACAAAGAGAAACAGTGATATCACGCTGACACGACGTGTTACAAGTTAGAACTCTGGACAAAGATTTACGCAAGTCCTGGTGTTTAGTGCCAAATAAATAAGTTACAGTAACGCTTTTCTAGAACGAGAATGAGCGTAACTGAGCGAGATTCTGAGAGATTTCGTGTTCTATACGTTACAAAATTTAGCGCATAATTAAAAAAGTTTATTTTACATATTTTCATTAATTTTTCCGGGATTGCCAATAGCGTAAATCGAGTTTGCATGTGCGAGTTTGCTTATGGCGGGGTTCTACTATATATAGAAAAGCAATAATTTAAATCCATAAATAAATATTTATTTATCATGAAGTTTATTATATAATAGTTTATTATGGACTCATGGTACTATTATTTTTGATATTACAATAAACTTTTATTAGCACATTGAATCATTTAAATGTTATTATGTTCACTCATACTTAAATTAAACGTCCAAAATTAAAGCAACAAACACAAATGTACAGTACTGTACATGGCAAAAACGTAGAAAGGAAAGACCTCCATCGCAATGAATCAACTGAATACCTTCTCTGAGGCATGTCTGATAAAGTACTGATGTATCAGAAACACTTCCTCGTTATCAGAAATCTTAGCAGACGATTGTTTGTCAGAAACGATTTTGTTGTATGTAGGATATAGTGCATTACATTTTTTTACACGGATGTGCTGCTATAGTGCCTCATTTGCATAGCACGTATGTGATAAGATGGCAGTTTGCTGATTTATGAGACCAACGAGAAAGACAGGCCTGAGCGAGACCTGCCATTAGATGTGATCAACTTAGTGTTATGGGTAGGAAACGTGTTTACTATTATAGATTTATTGTTGTAATCCAATTATATAATTTTTTTACATTTTTTATTGGTTTGTGTTTTTTATCATTTATCGCTAACCTTCCAGTCTTATTACTTTGTATTTATATATTTTGTAATATATATATATTGACGAAAATACAAAGTAATAAGACTGGGAGGTTAACGAGAAATGATAAAAAACACAAATCAATAAAATAAATATATTTATTTGCTTTGAGACTGATTTTTCATTTTGATGTTCTCCATAATTATTGATTGTAATTTTATAGGCAATTTTACAATTTTTTGTAAACAGTAATATAGCAGATTATATATCAAAATATATAATGATAATCTACTGCCAAAATAAATGTATGTCCATTGTATTTTTCGTTTTCACTTGAAATAATTGACAACTCTATCACTAAAATGATTATCCATATATTCAAATTTTAAAATAATTTTATTTACCTGTACTTTTATAACTTTCTCATACATGATAATTTTATTTTAAATAAAATTAAGCAGGTCATCTAAAATAGTGCGATGTTTTAAAACACAATTTTAGCAGTATCTTTCTTAAATATAATGTTTCATCTTTTATATTAATTTAATTTTATATTGTAATCTGTTATTAATTGCATTTGAGCCATTTATAAAATGAATTTTGTTTTCACTTAAGTCAATTAAACATAAATATTCTATTTCTCTTATTAATTAAAAATTTACCTTTCATCAAAATAATTTTTATGATAACAGCTACAAATGTCCTCTAATAAATTTACCTGTGTTGTTTCTATGTAGTTTTTATATGACTTCAAATTTTCTCGAAGAATTCTTTTCATATTTTCTTCTTCAACATCTTGGTTTTGTTTCCCTTGGGATTTCATAGATGTTTTGATAGCCCAGAAAATGTAGTTGGTGAGGCACTTGGCTTTAATTCTGCATTTGAAATTTTTCGCGAGTTTTCTTTACTTTGCCTTTCACTACACACTGTAAAATGTTTAATGCACACACTCACACAATATGATTCTTTACTTCACTAAAATCTGTAGTAATTTCCTCCACCTTGTTTGCAATACATTATTATCTTTTGGAAGATAAAAACGGTAACAGTTTCTCACTTCTACAATTGGATTAGCAATCATATATACAGTAGCACTTGGGCAGTATTGTTAATAATACATATAATAACTATCTTTTCCTTAGTTATTCTGAAAAAAATGAAATCGTGATTTAAAGATTGAGATACTATCTATAATAGACTATTGGTTTCAATACTATTTTACAAGTAAAACCATGTTAAAGCTTCAAGTTTTTTTATTTTGAAACAGACTTTAAAATATTAAAATTATGATTAAACTGACAATTTATAGATTATATATATTACATTATGATAAATTAAGCAGACATTATCACTTAAATGTAGAAATTACGATACTATATGATATCCCTATATATAAAGTACCTAAAAATAACGTCTGCTTACCATTATTGTTATCCTAGGATTGGAGGCTTGTTTGAAATCACAGCAATGTTTTTGTTCAAAAAAATTTTCGATATTTTACGTTATGGGATAATTTAAAATTGATTATAATTCAAATCAAAAACAAACTATGTTCATTTAAGTCTGACATTTAGCATTTAGGTTTAATTGTAGAACTAATAATATCAAGTAATCGGAAATATCTATAATATAATCGAGACGGGTTGATGATAATAATAATAAGTGCAGAGCCCAAACGGTTAGGAGTTGAAAGTTGAAATTTGGTACATAGATAGGGTACGTCACGAAAACGCACACTAAGAAGGGATTTTTCGAAANATTTAAAATATTAAAATAAAGTCGTTAAATTTTGAAATAATTAATTCTTTATAAGACGGAAAAAATAAAATGAAAGCTTCGTATTTAAAAAAAAAAGTTTAATAAAAAACATATTGAATAATTAGTAATTAATTTATTTCCAATCTTATTAGTATTCCAAACGCAAATAAAGTAAAATTATAATTACGCTAACTAAAAATAACAAAAGTGGAAAAACAAGAAAAAGTTTCAAATTTAAACAAACTATCCTTTACGTCTTACTTTCCCGCATAGTTAATTGTTATGCAGAGAAGTGATTAAGTTTCGTTTACTTTATAGAATTTTTAAAATAATAATAACACTTGGCGAAAATACTGCAAAGTATGATTAACAGGTATATAAATTTAAAATTTCATTAAAAATGAAAAAGATTTTACTCTTACCCGATAAAATTTTCGATACTTTCCGCTACAGTAATGATCATGTTCTGACGCTAAAGCGAGCAGCACTCCTCATGCAAGCCGACTTTACTGAACTGGTTGCAGTCGTTTGTCAATTTTGTCTCATGGTGCATGGCGGGAAAACTAGGCCATTAGAATAACGGTTTGGGTCTGATGTCCCGTTGATACCGCCCTTTCAAACATTCGATCGCTTACCTGCAGACCAACAACTACACCTGATTTCAATTTTCTTGCAAATAAACATAAATTCTTAAATGTCATTTTTTCCAGGATTTATAAATTTCAGGAAATAGGTTCTCTCCGTACGGAAATGAAACATTCTTAAAACATAATTACTATTGTATTCTTATTAAAGATCGCTTCTTTCTATCTTAATGATAATTACAAGTTTAATGTAGTTGAAGTAACTGGAAATATTTAGAGGAGTCATTAGATCGATAAAGTACTTCGATCGAGTACCACGTGGGAGAAATCACGTGACCTCGAAACTATTTTCTTTGCGTCGCCGAGCTTTTTTTTCTAGGACGAGTTAGCCATCGCTATAGAGGAGATTAGAATAATGCGGATGGTTTGCAGAGATGATAAATGGAAAGAAGATAGTTTTCATCCTTATTTTATTCACTTAGTTCTCTCAACGTTGCTTTCTGATTAAGGAAATTAAATAAAGATGCGTTTGAATTTTTATTAAATTTCAGATAGTCCATTGTTTCTCCATCTTCCTTACCTATTTCAATCATAGATGGCAGGGTAAGTTGTTTATCGCAAAAGAAAAGAATTTGTGATCCGCTTAATGGATTTTAACTCATTTAAAAAGTTATAAAAACTTCTATCCGCCATATGCTCTGGGTAGCTTTACTTTCTCCTATGGTTGAAATTTTAATAACTTTTAAAATATCCATGGAGTTACTGGGGAAAGGAATTTCTTTTTTTGAATTATGGAAATAGAATGTATCGTCATGAAAGCACAACCGGTACCGTGCGGCCTTAACGGGCAAGGAGCCAATTTCCAAGAAATTTTTAAATTGCATTTAAAAGTGGTAAAAGATCAATTTTTTAATCACAAGAAATTAAAGTAAGTCGAACTTGGTATACATTATCAGTATCGTATTAAATCGTTGCAATATTATATTTGGATTCTTTTATTATAGCACAAAAATCGTCGAATTGATGTATGAGCAACACGATCGATATTGTCGTTTTGTCGTATCATGATGAAAATGTGGAGAAAAGCTTCTTTTATACAATTATACATCCAAAATTTTCGGCTAGTGTCATCTCTACTAAAGTAAAAGGAGGTCACCCACTAGCTTTGGCGCCACTGCTTATTGATCCAGAGTTATTTTCTGCATCTTTGTACTTCAGAAAAGAAATCTGACTTAGTGTTACTAAGTGCAACGTGGCAGAGGAGAAGTGATAGTAAAAATGACAGAAGAAACCATTCTTATTACAATAAGAAAATTAGAAGCTTTTATAACTAAAGACTTTCATTAGTAAAAATATAAAATTTTTGGATTATTTTATATATATAAGTAACTTTTAAGTAGAAAAGAGTTGCATAAAATAGGAAGACTTGCAGAGAAAAGACACACACACGAAGAGAGTAAAAGTAAACATAACGGTGTGCTCATATAGAATCGATATCATTATAACATTTTTTTAATATTATTAAAATGAGTTTAAACAGTGAAAGCTTATCAATCAAAACTTACTTGTTAGTTTCCAAATCTGAGTCGACCAAATTCTTCGAACCGCATTTCCACTCGAATCTCATTTTTTTCATATCGAAATTTAAGGCGACTTTAATGAAATCCATGTTGACCAGAACAGATGGTATAAAGAGATGGCGTTCACGTCGGTTCTGGTTGTCGTCTGCAGTTTCGTTCGACAGCTGGTCCTCCATTGTAGGCAATTCTAACTCTGGGTTGGAGACTTTACCTCTTCTAACCTCGTGCATAGGTGTCTCTGTACCACCGACGCTTCATTGATTTCAGTTTCTTTTCCTTTAAAAAACCATCTCGCTTTTCCACATTTTCAGCCTAATCACGAATCTGGTCGATATGTAATCATCTCGACCGATTTTCCTATCTGGCATGTTTTCCCTGAAAAATCAGTAGATATTTTCCTTTTATGTTCCGTATTTTTAAAATAGTGAAATATATTCTTAATTTTTTCGAGTTTTCTAAATATTATAAAGAAATACCGAGAAAAAGTAAAAATAAATTACGTATAGTTAAGCTTAAACACTTATTCAATCGATTTGCCCTTTCTGAAGGGAATTTTCAGTAGCTTTATCGTTAAATGGGAAAATACAGTAGAAAATGTCGAAAGTATGACTGTTAAAAATAAAATACTTTATTTGTCGTAAAAATAGTTTTAATATTTCCATTTATAATAATATTTAATTTTTTTCATAGTATTCCATAACATTTTCGGCTTAAATAGAGAAATTCTTATCTTAATCGAACCGCTGTTTATAAAATGAGAGAAATCAATATTAACAATACATTTAAGATTATTTATTACAGCTACTGAAATAGTTTTTAAACCTTGATATACTTTCCTTTTTCATTCAAATTCTTACAACATTTTCTATAAATTATCAAATAAGTGAGCTCTATATATTTTTGCTATGCAAACTGAATCTTAATAACTGTTTAATTATCATCTCATTTAAAAATGAAAAATAAAATATTTAAAGTTTTTTATTTTGTATTAATTTCAAATTTATCTTAACATCGACTTGTAAGCTTGAAAATATTGATTCAAAGAAAATGCGCAATTTTTCATAGATCGTCATTATTATAAATAACAAATTCTTAAAATATTGAGTAAATCGCACAAAAACAGCTGTTTTTGAAAATATTTTAAGTTTTCTTCGAAGAGACAAGTCTAAACGATGATTAAGTTTTTTAATTTTATTATTATTATTAAGCAAAACACTTATTACATGAATGTATCAGAATATATCAATTAAAATAGATTAATAAATGTCATAAGTTCAAAGGATTTGGTTTTTTTATATGCATGCTTTAAAAGTAGAAAAATAATAATTATTAATATGATTTTTATTTATTAAAAAATATTATTAAATATTTACTTAAATTAAAAATTAGTTTCGTTTATTTCTATTATCTTTTTAACATAGATAGCCTATATAATAAATTTGCAGGAATCTTAAAAAACGTTCTTGATGCATATGATTCAAAGATAAGAACTTAAATATATAAATTTTTAACGCATAATACAATATTTTTATGTGTATGTATTAAAACACGTATTTAAATAATATTTGACAGAAATAAAAATTACGTAGTCAGCATATCTTATTTCAATTAACTCTTTTTTAGATCTGCATGTTTAAAAATTGAAAAGTGTAAAAATTTAAATTAGAATGTTTTATAAATAAAGAAAACTTTAAACTAAATAAATTAAATATTTACAAAGTAACACAAGAACTCAAAGATGATTTGAATAGGATGATAATTGAATAATATAATGATAATAAATTGAAAGACTGACTGTCGTTCGAAAATTATCATTTAACCCTCCAGCTCATTACAAGTAATAAAGAAGTGGAATATTTACGAATCTTGAATCAGTAAAATAAAATTATTAAAAATACAATTTTACAGTTTATCTGTTTTTGAAAAGCTCAAATTAATTGTCATAAAAAAGGAAAACGATAAAAATGAAAAATTATTATAAAGAACGAGATTCTGGTGATTGGAAAATGTTTTTCCAATTCAGTAAGACCCGGCTTAAAGCAGGGGATGCGTTCCTAGACAACAAAGCGCTAAGCGAAACAGCGTTAAACGAGGTCATTTTAACATAGAGTAAATAGGGATAGGGGAACACGCGACCAAAAATAAACAAATTTTACTTTAATTTTGTTATTTTTATATTAATTTGTATAATAATATATGTTAAATAACATATAAACATATGCACACATTAAATGTAAAGTTCATTTTTTGTGATGAAGGTCCTGACTTTTCTGAAATTCTTGTTCTTTTGCAATAAAGTCGTAAAGTTTCATTTGTCTCTTTTTTCTCTCCTTAAGCAAATGTCAGTAGCGGAAGATCGCATTCAAAACGCCTCGTTTTGCTTTTGCACTCCTTTCAAGATCTGGATCATTCGCTACAATTTTATCAATGATTTCGGTTATCTTACCAAACTTTTACTAAAGAAATCTGTTGAGAAATTTTTGGGTTCTTCGTTTTCAGAATCTCTATTTTCTAGTTCCACACGAATTCCATGTTCTGCCAATTCTTGGAGGTCGTCGTTGGTAAGGCTCTAACCAGAAACCTTCTGTAACTCCTCAATATCCTGCTCGTCTATTCTCTTATCAATATCCTGCTATATCGATTAGATCAGTGGTTCCCAATTAGTTTTTCCTGCGTACCACTTCAAGAAAGAGTTCAAACTCGCATATTCCTTATAGCAGAAATTCATATTAATCCATATTAATATTATAAATTCGAAGGTAATTCTGTCTGTCTGTCTGTCTGTTACCTTTTCACGTCTAAACCGCTGAACAGGTTTTAATAAAATTTGGCACAGAGATAGCTTACATGTTGGAAATTGACATAGGCTACATTTTACTGCGAGAAAATATCTTACTCCCACGAGAAAATTCGATATAATGCGGGCGAAGCTATGGGTAGACAGCTAGTGATAAATAAAACAAGTTTTTTTTTTACATTTATTACCTTTAAAATACAATTCTAATAATAATGAAAATAACATAAGGTTATTTAATTTTAATGTGACAAATGTGCACTTTTCTTTGCACAACTTTGTAAAATCTGGTTGCTTTTTGGTCTGCTTCAGTCTCAAGTCATCTTCGAGTTGAAGTCGGTTACGATGTTAAGTTTTCATGTTTGTCATGGCCGAAAATCCGCTCTCGCAGAGGTATGTTGTGCAAAATGGTAGTAAATATTTTATTGCCGCTTCGCTGACATGATAATAATGATAATTGTACAATTAATACAATTTGTGTTTATTGTACAATTTTTGTTTCTTGCCTAGGAATTTCATTTAGGTATTGTCACAAATGCATTTTTTGATGAAATTTCGAGAATTTAGTTATAAATAAACAAATTTGTGCATTCGAAATCATGTTGTAAATTGCCGAATTTTTGATGGTCCACCTATTATTTTTTTTGATTCCTTCATCTCATGCATTTAAATTTTAAATCAACCGATTTTAGATTGCCGCGCGTACCCCTTCATGCAATTTCGCGTACCCCCAGGGGTACGCTTACCATTAATTGGGAACCATGGGTTAGGTTGAATTTGGTCAACCTAACGATATAGCGATAGGCTCTTCTCGTTGAGAATTCTTGGATACCTTCAGCCATAACTTTTTCCACACTTTGTTCGTGCATTTATCAGTTAATTCTTGCCAAGCGAAATCGATATTTCCTATGACATCCATGATGTTATATATATATATATATATACATCTTTTTTTTCAAAAATTGCACCGAACAAACATAGATTTAGAGAAAGTACACCTTTTTGCCACCTTTTGCTGATTGGTTTGTGTTCGCAAATAATCGTATTATATACGAATCAATGAAATGCCGCGATAATTTAAATCGGCGTAAATTTTGAGGTTTTTTAAAGGCTTCCAGCAGACCGTGTTATATCGAATCAGCGTTAAGCGGGGTCTTACTGTACTAGCATATCTATCACACTTTTTTTTGTATAAATAAGGCAAATGAATATTATATTAACAACACATAGCAAGATATTGTAAGTCATAAAAACAACTTTAAAAAGTTTTTGGAAGCAGACTTTTTCTTTTCTGACTAAATCTAAGATTTTAATTATAGTTTAAAATAGGCTTTTTTTTGGCTTGTCAGAGCTATCAGTATCATTACGTTTGCGTTTTGGAGTCATGTTTGCAAAGAAACTAGTATAAATGAAACAAAGAGAAACAGTGATATCACGCTGACACGACGTGTTACAAGTTAGAACTCTGGACAAAGATTTACGCAAGTCCTGGTGTTTAGTGCCAAATAAATAAGTTACAGTAACGCTTTTCTAGAACGAGAATGAGCGTAACTGAGCGAGATTCTGAGAGATTTCGTGTTCTATACGTTACAAAATTTAGCGCATAATTAAAAAAGTTTATTTTACATATTTTCATTAATTTTTCCGGGATTGCCAATAGCGTAAATCGAGTTTGCATGTGCGAGTTTGCTTATGGCGGGGTTCTACTATATATAGAAAAGCAATAATTTAAATCCATAAATAAATATTTATTTATCATGAAGTTTATTATGGACTCATGGTACTATTATTTTTGATATTACAATAAACTTTTATTAGCACATTGAATCATTTAAATGTTATTATGTTCACTCATACTTAAATTAAACGTCCAAAATTAAAGCAACAAACACAAATGTACAGTACTGTACATGGCAAAAACGTAGAAAGGAAAGACCTCCATCGCAATGAATCAACTGAATACCTTCTCTGAGGCATGTCTGATAAAGTACTGATGTATCAGAAACACTTCCTCGTTATCAGAAATCTTAGCAGACGATTGTTTGTCAGAAACGATTTTGTTGTATGTAGGATATAGTGCATTACATTTTTTTACACGGATGTGCTGCTATAGTGCCTCATTTGCATAGCACGTATGTGATAAGATGGCAGTTTGCTGATTTATGAGACCAACGAGAAAGACAGGCCTGAGCGAGACCTGCCATTAGATGTGATCAACTTAGTGTTATGGGTAGGAAACGTGTTTACTATTATAGATTTATTGTTGTAATCCAATTATATAATTTTTTTACATTTTTTATTGGTTTGTGTTTTTTATCATTTATCGCTAACCTTCCAGTCTTATTACTTTGTATTTATATATTTTGTAATATATATATATTGACGAAAATACAAAGTAATAAGACTGGGAGGTTAACGAGAAATGATAAAAAACACAAATCAATAAAATAAATATATTTATTTGCTTTGAGACTGATTTTTCATTTTGATGTTCTCCATAATTATTGATTGTAATTTTATAGGCAATTTTACAATTTTTTGTAAACAGTAATATAGCAGATTATATATCAAAATATATAAT